TAGGTAGTAGGTAGTAGTAGTAGGTCGTAGGTCGTAGTAGGTCGTAGGTCGTAGGTCGTAGGTCGTAGGTCGTAGGTCGTAGGTAGTAGTAGGTCGTAGGTCGTAGGTCGTAGGTCGTAGGTAGTAGTAGGTAGTAGGTCGTAGGTCGTAGGTAGTAGGTCGTAGGTAGTAGGTAGTAGGTCGTAGGTCGTAGGTAGTAGGTAGTAGTAGGTAGTAGTAGGTAGTAGTAGGTAGTAGTAGGTAGTAGTAGGTAGTAGTAGGTAGTAGTAGGTAGTAGTAGGTAGTAGTAGTTAGTAGTAGTAGGTAGTAGGTAGTAGGTAGTAGGTAGTAGGTAGTAGGTAGTAGGTAGTAGGTAGTAGGTAGTAGGTAGTAGGTAGTAGTAGTAGTAGTAGTAGAAGTAGTAGTAGTAGTAGTAGTCGTGGTAGTAGTAGTAGTAGTAGTAACATTCTTGTTGCGAGACTAAACAAATCAAACGTGGATGCCTCAATATTCACACGGATTTTGAACTTTATAAACATGATAACACAATATTGAATTATTACTACTGTAAACATGACCAGTTTGGCGGGTGCATTGGTACATTTCACTGTACCCCATTTGTGGTCGCCATGCCCATGCAAATTGCTTGAGAGTCGCTGATCGCAGGAACTTAGCACGTACCTTCCGGCAACCTGGACCAACGGCGAACGCCTGTCGAGAGGCTCAAAGACAGCTGATCAGCGACTCGGCTCAGTTTTCTTCGAGAGTTCTTTGATAGGTTTGACGATTATGGGCATGTGATTCCGGCCGAATTAAACTACATGGCCAACCAGGATCACATGTTGACAATATACTTTAGGTAGTCCTTGTGCTTCTGTATTCAGAATTCTGCACTCAATCCTGCAACAAGGATCTCAGGAGGCTCTACGAGACATGTTTGCTGGCGCCAAAGGCAAGGGAAAAACATGATGTTTTATGATGTCTTATGATGTCTTATGATGTCTTATGATGTCTTTGGTTTCTGTCTGGTTTCATTCCGACTCCAAGCTTTGTCACAAAAACTGGACTCAACGCTCAAAGTTTGCTGCTCTGCAACAGGAGACACCCCCAAAACATGGTGGAAAACATGGTGGTAACATGTTGGAATGCCGTGGTCATGGCATGATCCTCCAAGTTCTCCAGGCACGGCCTGTGCAGCCCGAGGAGAAAAAGGGCCCCAGAGACGGCGCTTTTTTGACGTGGCTCCGGGGTTTATCGGAGATGAAAAGTTGAAACCCCAGGTGATTTTTGTGTAACCCAGGTCCCAGGTATATAGATTTTGGTCACATGTTGACTGGATGATTCAATTTCTTTGGGACCAACATCTTTATGCAGACTATAGACATGGGCGGTATCACAATGATGGGCCCTCCAACTCGGCTTGATTGCCCATCACAATGATGGCAAAGTTGTTTGGATGATTTGACACCATCCCAAGTGCATGACCTCAATAAGATTGCACCAATTAGTATGTAATTTAAAGATGATGAACGGCTGGCATATTTTTCATGTGACAAATGTGGATTCATAACCCCTCCCCAAAGCCCCCCAATCCAACAATACATGGCTAATATGCCCCTAGATTAGTGGTTTCAGATTCGCCGTGAATCAGCCCGGGGGGGTGGCGGTTGAATCCCCGAACGCAGTTGGAGGTTCGGCAAGATGAAAACCGTCCCTGCTGAGGTCACAGCTAGCAAGGAGCTGCAAGAAGAGATGACGCCACTTGGTCTGATCTCAGGTGTAATGCTTAAATTTTGGTTGAACACCAAGCATTTCATGGGGAGATAGTTTGATATATATATATATAATGGGATATAACTTTGGATATATAATGGGATATTCTGTAATGAAATATATATACATATGTATGTAATTCCATGTATATATCTAGGAAGGTGATGTGGGCTGGGATGGGGGGAGGACTAGCCGACTAGCCCCAATCTATGGCCATCAACAAAAGTTGAAGAATAGGGAGCATGATAAACCACGAGGTGGAATGGGGTACCGTATTTTTGGACAAAGCTGATGACCTTTCCATTGCCAATCAAGGAGGCTGACAACTGCAGCAAATCGTGCTCAAGAGGCAGCGGCAGGGAGGATTGCTGAGTTGCTGCCTGAGGAAGATAAACCAACATGGCAATTAAAACACCTTCATTTTGTTTGATATTCTTTTATATGCCATTTAGATATTCAAATTCGTTTTAAACCATTTTTTGGGGGGCTGATTTTCCCATGAAAAACATTTGATGTTCCTACCAAACCCTGGAGCGGATGGCAGTTGTTGAAGTGTTTAACCACGATTCAATCAGAAAATTGAGCGGAAAAGAAGATATGGAAGCTTTTGATATAGCCTGATGTAATCGTCTTCAACAAAATGGAGGTTTCCTGAAATAGGGATCCCCTAAATCATCCATATTAACAAAATAGGTTTTTCCACTATAAACCATCCAGCTATACCTCCATAAATTGTGACAGGCAGAGAAGAGCTTGCATGCAAAGTTGGAGGCCATTCAGGCGAAGAGACAGATTGGCGGCAGACACTGGGCCACCACTGTGGTCGTACTGCATGTGGTTGACTTGCGGATCACTCCAAAGTAGGATCCGAGATTTCCCATATATATATATATATTTGTTTACTTATATATATATAATAATATAATATATATAATTATATCATACAGTTTCCCAGGTGTTTCCCCAATGGGGTTTGATGATGACGTTCACACAGGAAGAACTTGTCAAGGAGAAAGCGCGAGCCTGGTGGCCCAGTGACCGTCTCCACGGAACATGTCTGAGGTCCATCAACATCCTTAAACATCCAACAGGTGCTTGGAAAAATAATCCAATAGTAAACCCAATAGTATCCAATCCTAAAGACAAGAATCGCAATATATCCCAATATTCAACCTCATATGGTTGGTGGTTTTGGGATGGTTTATTATTGGCTTTGCCATATCCCCAATAATCCCATCCCCGGTTACTCAACACCCCTCAGAAACCGTGGTTTTTGATAGGGGATGAAGTCACATATTTGGGACCATGCAGTGGGGGTGTTTAACATGAACAGGGGACGGGATTTTCCATCCTAATCCCATTACATCCCATAAAATTCCATCAAATCACCAGCATAATCCCATTAGTCAACCCAATATGTGTGTCACCACTTACAACTATCTCCCATTATCTCCCCATTAGATCCCATTTGACTCTTGGGTTAACATCCCCCACTGGAAATTATATCGCGAACCAAGGCCGAGGCGGAGGCCTCCAAGTGCGTGGCCGCGCGAGATGTCCAGGAGGCAGTTCCGCTGTTCATATGGATTGGTGGTTGTCAGTGGTCAATTAGTGGTTTTTATCGATTATCTTTGGTTAAATGGATGATAGTGGTTTATTGGATGTTATTAGATGTTATTAGATGTTACTAGATGTTATTAGATGTTATTAGTGGATGATAGTCTAGATGGTGGATGATCGTGGTTATTAGGCGATAGTGGATGATATTCACATCGCGGTTCCACAAGTGGAGACTGATGGTGGATTGGTTTCCCGAAATTTATCAAGATTAGAGTTCCACCTGTTCCGGACATATGCCATTTGAGATGGCAGTGGCTTGAAATTCTGAAACAAAGTCAGATGGTGTTTTTTGCAACTCCAAAAAGGATAGAAACACAATTATTCATCACTATCTTGCTAGGATTTTACTATTCTATCTTTTTTGGGGGTCCGGTCACTATAGTGAAACAAAACGATGCCCAGTGCCCAATCAGTGTGAGGCCATCATGCAAGAGATGATCTCGGCGAACGTGGAGAAACGAACTGTCCGAGAGAGCTTGGAGGAGCGATGCTTCGGGATTCAGTGTGTTTCTTTTCCTAGCAAGTGGGGGAACAAAATCAACCTATATATACTGTAATATATAAAATTATATATATAAACTGTTTTTAAACTGGTGTATACTGTTGTACTTGACGGGGAAAAGGAATAGTATTATTTGGGATAAGCCCGATTTTCCGAAACACCGATATGCTGATATTGATGGATTTGGGCAGACAGTACACCTGGCAACAAGATGAACGGTAGTGCTGCTAGCCTTTTCATGGGGATACTGTCGGTCATTAAATAGGATTTATCATGGAGCTAATTATGTTTGAACTGGATTTGCATGAGAATTCTCAACTGGAGTGGGAGTGGAATTGATGTAGATCGCCGCAGCCATGCCTCAGTAGTTCTGGAACCCCGTCAGTTTTTCTGAAGAGACAATTGGAACAGTTGTAAATAGCGATGAATGCAGTAGACCTTACAGTAAAATGTCCAGGGTATTTCAGGGTTGAACCTCCGGGACAGGCCCAGCTCCAAGAGCAGAAGAAGCGCGTCGGGGGGCCGAAGTAACGCGTCCAACATGTGTATCAGTTTGTGGTTCTGGAAAAACCACCCCACAATCTTGGGGTCCTGAGGATATTGACCAACTGCAAGGGGAAGCAGCACACATTGAGATATGGTTGATGGATGAGATCACGCCAAGGCCAGTGAATTTGAGGCCAAGTATCTGCAACTTCAGGCCGAGGAGGACTGGGATTTGCGAAAAAGGATCCAGTACAGTAGTTGTTGGAGATGGATGGGACATGTTTGTTTTTTCTTTGGGGAAAGGTTTGGTATGTTTTTTTTTGAATGTATGGTCCATGGTACATGTTTGCTATTTTATTGCATGTTGGTTGAACTGTTGTGAATTTGGATGAATGGCAATTTCTGAAAGGAAACCTGGCGGGTCAAGATTCCCCTTAGACGTTTGCTTGAGAGTCAAGAGTGGCAAGGGGTTTGTTGCACTTGGTGCATACTTGGTGCAGGAATCTCGCAACCGAGGTCAAAAGCAGGCGCGGAAGCAGTTTTAGATATATCATATATGGATTATATTCTATCATATTATATTATATTATATCATATTATAATATATTATATCATATTATATCATATCTTATATTATATTATATTATATTATATTATATTACATTATAGTATAGTATAGTATAGATTAGCTAGATAGATAGTATTTCAACATTTTGGGTACCAGAAATTGATAGAGCCCCATCGAAAAAACGCAGGTCTTGGACCAAGAAAGAAGTTTTGTGGATCGACTCATCAGAGACAAGGACGCTGGGACCGCTGGGGGTGCCCTGGTCACTGGTCGCCACTAAGGGAAGCCACCAAGGGGGGGTGGAGCCGTTGATCGCGACCAGGAGGGCTTGGAACAAAGCACTGGGCGCCTTCAAGAGCAGTTGGCCAAGGCCAGACTTCGACTCACAGTTTCCTGGTTGGTCTATGTTAGGTCTACAGGTGTCCTATCCCCAAGAAATCCAAGAAGAATCGATCGACAAATCTGTGGAAATTGATTGAAACTGGTTGAAAAGCCCACCTTCAAGGCCAACATGGCTGCGAATGAGTTGGAGGTGCCATGGGTGATATGGGTGCTGCGCTGCTTATTCGACGCCCAAAGCCTTTTTCAAGGATCTTCACTGTGGCTCAAATGCCAACCCCAAAATGAGTAAACAACACAACATCCCTAAAAAGGAGTTTCAACAAGTCTATCACCATTTTTAATGGGAAAATCCACTATAAATGGCCATTTTTAATTGCTATGTTAGTTTACCAGAGGGTAATTCTTAGGATCTTCACTTCCCTCTTCACTGGGGTACCTGCAAGGCGAAGTTCAACCAGGAGAGGTTGAAGTTGGAGGCTGCCAACCAGGATCGTCGCAGCCCCAGCTTTTTTTCAGGGGTGAGATGGGTGGGATTTCAACCATCCCCCAAAAGGTAGTTGATTCAATGTTGTTTATGGCGTTGGGTGAATTCCATAAAAGATTTACACGCCTCGATGTTTTTTCTGAATCTTTTTCATGCCAACTTAGATGTTTGAGCGCATCATTCGGAGATTCGGCCCTTCCCTGCTGGCTGGTGACTGGCCCGGGTTGAGAAGTTCCATTCAGAGTCTTTTCGGGTTTGGCAACTGTCGCATTTTGATCCACTTTGGGGACTATGCGATTTATGCTATCTAAACGATGTATATCTCTCATTATCTATCTATATTTATATGCATGTATCATATATCTGTCTATGTCTAGCTATTATATACTATCTATTCTACTATATCTATTATACTATCTGTAAGTATCTATAAGTATCTATAAGTATCTATACTGTATACATATACATCACCTTTCAACCGGCTCGTTTCCCCTGTCGCTGCAGCAGACGATCTGCACTCTGCAACAGACAAGGCCTGGAGCTGATGCAGCGACAGAAGCTGTCTGCGGAAGAAGCTGAGCATGCCGACAAGGTGGATGTTGGGGATGACTGTCTCTATTTATTGGATATATATGGATATATATGACATGTTATATATGGATATAGAAGATGACTGGGATAAATGTTATATATCATATATATCCATTATCTATATGTTCTATTATCATCTATATTAATCCATTATCTATAGAATCTATATGTTCTGTTATCATCTACTATCTATTTACAGAACATCACAGTTGTAGTCTCAGAACATCCCATGTAGAAAAAAGAGAATACATAGGACATGGAATAATCCATAGAACATTTCTAGATAGTGGATATATGATAGACAATATAGATACTGATAGATATAGACATTTGTGGATATATGTGTAGCACCTTTGTTTTGGATGACTTGGGTGGGTCTTAAAATAGGTTATACTCATAAAATAACAACATTTAATGGGACAACTTAGGATGGCCCTATTTACAGACGATTCTACATGGGTCGCAATTCATGGTGTAGCACCAACTTGGATGGTTGTGTATAATTGTCCATTAATTCCCAATTGGATGATTCATAGCCCAGTTTATGATAGTTTATCATGATTTAGACTCTTATTTTAGTTGGATTGTTTTTTGATGGTTTAGAACAATCGTCTCCCCATGCATAAATGACTATGGGGTTATACCACCATTTTCAAGTACACACTGATGTGGGGATGTACCAAAATCGTGTAGTAGTTTCATATGATTCATATCATATGATGTTTTAAATAATGACAAAGGAAAAATAAACAAGCTTGAACAAACACATGGTTCAATGAATATTTGTGCAATAATTTTGTCTGTCCAGATTGCTGATGATGAAGGTTTCCCGCAGAACCATACATTTGCCCATGCTCACATATATAATATCTCATGTTTGCCACGGTTTTACGTTCTCTCATCCAAATCCACAGGGCTTCTTTCTATTTTTCCATCATTTTTACCATTGGTTCCATGATGTCGCACTTTTCCCACGACGTACCCTATATTGAATCAACATATGAGATATTATGTTATATTTTCTTCCATCATATTACATCATTACAGAATGATATATATATATATATCTGCCACCCCGTCAAACAATACGTATAAAGGCCTTATAATGGATGTATTATTATCTCATATTTTCTTCCATTATTACATCATTACAGAAGGATCTAAATCTGCAACCCCCTCAAACAATACGTATAAAGGTCTTATAATGGATATATCATGATGTTATATGTTCTTCCGTCATATTACATCATTACAGAAGGATCTAAATCTGCCACCCCTCAAAGAATACGTATAAAGGTCTTATAATGGTGATATTCTATCTGATCCAAAATACCAGTGGTGCAAAAGGGCCGCGAGAAAACCTAGGATCCGGGAGAAAAATAAATTTACGTCAAGAACCCTTCCACGACTTCGTGGGGGTCTGATGAAAACTCGGTTCGTTTTACCCGAAAAAACATAGGCTCCGGGCAAACGTCCGGATCTGTGCGGAAGGTTTAAAGCTGTGATTTATACTGCTGGATGCCTCACCTGGTATTTGGAGATTGCAGGTGTTGCAGCACCAGATCAAATCAGCGCAAGAGGTCAGTCGGGGCAGCTGCAAGTTGGATTATTGGACCAACACTAATTGATCAAGCATGAGGGTATGAAATCAATTGAAATCACATGTATTATATGTTTTTTTTTTTAACCTGGGGATATAATATCGAATGTATTGTATTGGGATGCAAACCAGTATGATTGGAATTTCATGGTGCTGTGTCAACCCCGAATTCATCAACGGGCCAGTTGATTCAGTCCGGTCCCCAGAATAGCGAGAAATGATGATAAATTTATCTGATAAATCAATATAAAATCAATATACATCATATATAATTAGAATATAAATTCTATAAATCACAATCAATACTATTGGACTCTTGAAATTAGTACCTTAGTACCCCGCCTTGCGGGGTTCATGAATCCTGGCGCAGTTCATAGGCTGAGTTGAGACTGTCCAACCGAGCAGCAGCACTCAAGGCCCGGGGTGTTGTGGTGATTGTCATTATTGTTACATGTTGATACATGTCATTATTGTGGTTGTAGATATTCTGATGAGTTTTTCGTTATTTTTTCTTTTACTATTGATTCTTATTGTTATTTTTGATTTCACTACGAGTATGTTTTAAGATGTTTTAATAGTAGTGTTCTTTTTGTTGTTGCAGACCTTCAAAGCATGTCGTTCGAGTCTTTCAGGTGATTCCTTTGCCAAAAGAATCTGTCTTATGTAAAGAAACACCAGCAAATTGTGCAGCCGAGGCGAAGGCCGTCAGATGCACACAATGTTAAATGTTAAATCATATCAATTGTCAACATTTGGTGAGAATATCGTGACATACCATTGCAGGCTTTCCCAAAAAAATCAGCCGTGTTGTTCCAGGCCGTTGTAGATGATATCACATGATACTACCTCACAATTTCAATTTTGAGGGGTCCAAAAAAAAAACAATCCAAAATCAAATATCGACTCCAAAATGGACACTTCAATACACTTCATATACCCTCTGGTTATTTAACATAGCCATGGTATAGATGGCCCATAGAAATAGATGGTTTACCTATTAAACATGGTGATTTTCCATAGTTATGTTAGTTTACCAGAGGGTAATCCCACAAAACATCCAAAAACATGGTGACTTGAGCCATACCACTCAGGCCCTCATGGAAGGCGAGAGAGCCAAGGTGTGGTGAATGTTTTCAAGTGAAGACGCAGAGATCCACTGATTCCACGGTTTTTGTTTTCTAGTGCTATCATATTTAGATAAATAATGATAAACATATATAAACATATATAAACATATATAACCCGGCGCCTGGTTTACCGCGCGTGTGTTTTGGCATTTTCTTAAGAGTCTTTATGATGACCTTCATGTTTATCTCTGGGTATTTGCAGGACTTTTGAAGCAATCATCATCATGTTTGGTCAGAAAATGTGGCTAATTCCATTGTGTTTTATTTTTTCATCATTTTTCACTTGTATTTGCACGCTTTTGTGAACGCCAGGAGTAGAAAGAGGCTGTTTCAGGATGCCTTGTTTTTTGATGGATTTGCGTTTCGCCACAGGGAGAGAACAAAAAATTCGGACTTTTCGGTTTTTTTCTGGCGCAGCTATGTGTGGAAGTGCAAGAGAAGAGACGGGTAGCGTAGCATCACGAATGTGTGCAAGTGCAAGAGACGAGGTCGGTAGCGTAGCATCAGCTATGTGTGCAAATGCAAGAGAAGAGACCGGTAGCGTAGCATCACGTATGTGTGCTAGTGCCATTGAACGTTATTAGCCCACCCCACCCCACCCCACCCCAACCCATCTGTAGCGTAGCATCAGGTATGTGTGCAAGTGCAAGAGACGAGGGCGGTAGCGTAGCATCAGGTATGTGTGCAAGTGCACGAGACGAGGTCGGTAGCGTAGCATCAGGTATGTGTGCAAGTGCAAGAGACGAGGTCGGTAGCGTAGCATCACGCATGTGTGCAAGTGCAAGAGAAGAGACCGGTAGCGTAGCATCACGTATGTGTGCTAGTGCCATTGAACGTTATTAGCCCACCCCACCCCACCCCAACCCATCTGTAGCGTAGCATCAGGTATGTGTGCAAGTGCAAGAGACGAGGTCGGTAGCGTAGCATCAGGTATGTGTGCAAGTGCAAGAGACGAGGTCGGTAGCATAGCATCAGGTATGTGTGCAAGTGCAAGAGACGAGGTCGGTAGCGTAGCATCAGGTATGTGTGCAAGTGCAAGAGACGAGGTCGCTAGCGTAGCATCAAATATGTGTGCTAGTGCCATTGAACGTTATTAGCCCACCCCACCCCACCCCAACCCACCCCATCGGATCGGCCAAAAAAAACACAAAAACGCACGTACGGTAAACCAGCCGCCAGCATATATAAGCATATTATATGTATATATATATAATATGTTTGTATTATTATACGCATGATATATATATATATATAATACATATATAAACATGTATACATACGTCTGATACACGTGTCATGCAAAAAGGCAGATAGGGTGTACATATCTAGTTATCAATATAGGATCTGATATATTATTGTTACCCATATGACATTCAATTTTCCACATACGATGCATGACGTAACTAAGCATGGTATCTATCCATCCTTCCATCTATCCATCCATCCATCCATCCATCCATCCATTTACTGTATCCATCTATCCATTCATCCATCTAGTCATTTATAATCAATGCATTTGTCATTGTCGATCTTGCTATAAATTCAACTTTGATACCCATTCAACCACCTTTGTTTAAACTGTATATAATTCCTACCATAGTCAGCAGGCGTAGAAATATACTCCTGCAGATGCCACAAGTAGAAGAGTGTTATGGGTTTCCAAGACTTGGAAGCTTGTTGTTGGCAGGAATCAAGACCGCCATTTTTGTGCGAAAGAAAGAACATACCAGTTTGATGCCAGTTAAATTACTGAATGAAGCTGGGAGGTGGAGCAGCTGACCGAAGGCTTTGCGATGTTGGCCAAACAGGCGATGAATGGTGGTTTTTCTGGCGGGGTTTGGCATGATTTGACCAAGAGAAATCGGGATTTCACCTTCGAAGAAGGGGATTAAACCAATGAACATGGATATACTATAATAGGTGAGAGTGAGAGGATTTTTCTTGAGATTTGGGATATTATATGATATTATATGTGATATAAGCAGCAATTTGAGATGGGGGACGATGGGGCCCCATATCGCTGTGGAGAGGGCCCCATGCGACCTTAAATTAATAGGTTATCTCATTGGATAGTTTGCTCTTTAAGAGATCAGTGGAAGATCATCTCCCATGGCTGGATACTGACGGCCGAAATGGGGATAGTGAGCCATCAAAGCATGTGGTCGTGATGCAACCAACAAAGAGTTGGTTGCTACCCAAGCATCAACGGAGAATATGAGGGTACTACCCAAGAGCCAGCGGGGATACTCAAACAAAAAACAGAAACTAGCGGACATGACCACGACAAATGGGTGATGTTTACAACATTTTACAACTCTGTACTGTGGGAATACAACAACTACCCAGTGATCTTAGGGCAATCATGCTAGCTCTTGAGCTTTCCCAATGTCTAGCCTGATAACGATATCTGACTCGACCCATCAGCATGACCATGTCAACAAGATGGGGATGCGTGGGTACGTACAAAAGATGCGGGATACCCCAACCATCAAAGGTGTGGATTCTGGCCAGCAAGAACAGGTCGGGTCGACGAAGAAGAACAATGAGCATACTGAGCAACAAACAGGAGGATGTATACTGTAACGCAAGATAGCAAGATCAGCTTGGTTTCTCCAAATGGTCTCGACCCATAAATCGTGCGGTTCAGAACACATCTGACAGTTGGGGTTCCACGCTTGGAAACTTGCGGAGTTTGGTAGTTTTTCCACTTCCAGCTTTGTCAATGTGGTAAAACACCTGTTAAACCCATTAAAACCCCATACAGCAAAAACCATCCCCCAATTTTACAAGCAACGGCTGGTATAGTCCGTCAATGCTTCATCCTGAGATCCTGCGCGCAGGTTGGTAGTGGACAGCCCCAACCGCAGCTGGAGAATCAGTTGCAGGACTGGAGGTTGCCCTTGAAAGATGGAATGCAATGATGACGATATCCACACCAATTGAAAACGATGTTTACTGACAGTTCATTGAAACTCCAAGTGTGTCCAAGTCCATTTGCATTATCCATGGCTGCTTTTTGCCTGATGTTCTGTCCAAGTTTGTCAAACCATGCCAACCCTACGTGCCTTAGAAATCCATCCATGTCCGTTCTACCAATCCCGGGAAAAAAACATGAATAGTAATTTCCTACCAAAAGATAGTACATAGTGCTAACTACACTAAGTCCTTTAAGTGTTCTATCTTTTTTGGGGTCCATTGATTTTGTCAGTTGAGCAACTGCTATCCTCAGGAGCTGAACAGCCAAATGCTGGAGATGCGAGCGATGCTGAAATCGAAGGGCGACGAGGCGACCAATCGAAAGAAGTCCTTGATATCATTTGATAATATCAAATATAGTTAGATAATGTTAGATATAACATTATATAGCTAGATATAGATATAGCTGCTTAGCTGGATATGATTAGATCTAGTTCGATGTGATTAGATATAGTTTTGATTTTCGATTAGGTCTAGTTTTGTATGATTAGTATGAGATAGTACAGTAGTACAACTGCTTCTTTTGAGGCTTGTCGAAGAAGATGTTTGATGGACACCATTTTCCCATTACTCTACAATGAAAATCAGATTCAGATACTGAAAAAATATAATCATTCGGAAGACATGGCTCATACCGTCAGAACCAGTGCCTGACAATGCCTTACCCTTTTCCACTCCGAAACCGAAACTAGATAAACATGTGTCGCAAAATACCTGGTAGTTGATTTCAAAGAAATCATGAGCCGACAATGTCGCAGTTTCGCTGACCACATTCTTTTCTTACATCCGAAAGCACGCAACCGTTAAATCGGATTTGGGGATCCACGTGGGACACCTCTCCAACGGTGAAGTGAACGAACTGTCAGGGTCCCAAAGACGCAGAGCTGACTCACGCTCTCAATGAGGCTGGAAATGACCAATAGTTTAGGGTGGAACGCATCACCATCTTTTAATGGGTAAATCATTGAACTCAACAGGCCGTTTCCATAGCTATGTTAAATTACTGGAGGCTAGTGGACTACAGTATTTGTTTATTTTGTTTGGCATCCTTTAAAGATGGAAAAACGTGACCCACTAAACAGCTACAAAGTAACGACATTCAGGGTTTGCCATGGACCTTGTCCGGGTATGGGTCAACACTGAACACCGCAAAAGGTGGTAAATCCATCATAAGATCTGTACTGGTGTGAATAGAGCATCCAAATTTAATCAGATCAAGATTCCATTTCAAACGAGTTTTACTCTACACTCCAAGAATGACCAAAACTATCAAACCTCCTGGTGTAAGATGAATCTCCCAAAATCGGCCGGATGTTGAAATCATGTTCCCTGGGATCCCCTTCGGTTCCACCCATGGGACGACTGATATGACCCCAGGTCTCGGCGGCCAACGCTCAGATTCAGACGGCCGTGGCACGGGAGAAGGATGCCTTGGAGCGGTGCCGTTCGGGGCGGCCCGTTGGAAGCGTTCGGTGCGTTTCGGAAGGCGATGATTTGTGGTTAATAATGGTAAAGAATGGTTAATAATGGATGATAATAGATAATAATGGTTAAGAATGGTTAATCATGGTCAATATAATGGTTAACAATGGCTAATAATGGTTATTAAATGTTATTAATGGTTATTAATGGTTAATAAGCCCTCTAATGGGATTGGAATGGGATCTTAAATTAAGATGGGATTTTAATCAATCGGAAATCAAATTTTTAATGGTTTTTTTTTGGCCAACCCAAATGGTGATTGAACCAAATATAGAGGTTTCTTAAGTCATGGGGAATCCCTGAGTCACCATAGATTAAGCTATACTAAGTCATAGGTCCAATGACTGGATGATGAAAATGGGGTACCCCCATGACTTAGGAAACGTCCGGGAATTTCTGAATTTCCCATGAAATTCCCAAGTTCTGATGAATCTGTTTTGGGGTAATCTGACATATGACTACAGATGTTGTTTTTCAGACAAGGGATATCTTTTCAGTATTGGCTGTTCCACTTTTTGGTTCCCAAGTCTTTGCCATACGAAAGGTGTCCTGTTGTGACTGTCCCTGGCACTTCTGCATCTCGCAGGTGTCGTTGGGTCGTGAAATCAATGAATGTCCAACAAAAGGCGATGCCTCGAAGTAAGAGGAGCCATAAGAAAACCCTGTACCAAGAAACCCTGTACTTGGTGCATCCTACTCAGGAAGTGAGAACCGACTTGGAGCATCGAGATGTAGGATTTTGGTTTTCCAATTTTACCCAGGATTATACACAGTTGTATCCTTGAAATGTGAACTCATTATATGGTATACCAAGGCAACTAGGAGTATATTTCAACTGACCATATCATTGCGTATTAAGCAGCTAATGTAAATAATGATGTCAACACCCCGTTACCTACTGGACAAAGCAAACCAGAAAAAATACAGCTCAAACTAGCTGAAACCGCGATAGACGTCGCCAACGAACGTTTTGCTTGCCCCCTGGCAGTCACAAGGAACAACTGCAAGATTGTTTTTTCCCCAAAGATCTGGGACCGCTAAAATCCAGCATTTCTGTTGGTAAGCCATGGCAAGCCCACTTTTTGGTTTGCGCATTTCTTGTTGTCTGGGGTGAAACCATCCTTACTACAATCCCTCCGCTATCTCTGGACACACCCAGATGGTCTCTCATGGAGATTCATTGTGGCCTTTTGCCACAGATGGGCATATCACTTTTTCCGGATATTTTTTTGGGGAGTTGCCAGGTCCGGACCTCCGGAGGCACGACGGAATGCAGCTTGCCTTCTCCATCTATGGGTGTTGTGGGGTCTCCAGAAAAGGTCCGATTCAGGTGTCACCAGGTTGAACACACATCCCGTTGTGATCATTTGTGCTAGACCCCTAGCTGAGATCAATGATGAGATACATCAAGACCAAAGAAAATCATGTTCTGAGCTGTTCGCGCAGGTTAGAGATCGCCAGCGGCAGGCCTGTCCGCACTAATCAAAGTGTATGGGTTCGGATCAAGAAAACGGGTCATGGTTCGCAAAGAAGGATGACGAAGAACGTGGGTAAAATTCGTGGTTCCAGTTTCCTTGGCCTTAGTTTGACCCATTCCCAGATGACCTTGCTGGCATTTCTCATTATTTCTCCATGTCAGGGTTTTCAAATGAAGATGTAGTACTTCCCAATTGGGTTTCACAGATGTGGTGGAAAGACTTTCAGGAGAAAATCCTGGTTCGGTTGCTCCTTGTCACACTTGAAGCGTGACACCTCTTGTAGCCTACATGATTTGTTGTTCAATACAAAGATTTTTATTCAAAGATCCAGAGATCGTATTCCCAGTAGCAAACTTTCAATACAGGCGCACAGACCTTTCCTCACCTTTGGTCATCCAGACCCTGCACTGCAACATACCATCTGAATTCACACCGCCAGGAAGGATCAAGCAAACCAAAGAAGGGCAAAGCACCTCGAGTTCGCGAGGCAGAGGGGTAAAACTTTCAACTTCAGCTCATGTCGTGGTAACTAAAGCCACATACGAAATCATCCCCAATTTCGCCAGAGATGAATGGTATAAACCATCCCCACTTTTCTAGGCTTTTGGTTGGGTTTCCCTATTTTTTTTCCGTGGCCCCTCTGGACCATTTTCTTGAAACATGCAGCTGCGGTGATGACTTAGATGGAAAGCCTTGCACCGCCTTGCGCCAGCTTCATGGCAAGCTGTATGCATCTACGGATGACACCATTCAGACAGGGCTCGGGGGCCTCAGGATGGTGCTGGTGCAAACGGCAAGCCGGAACTGGGGTTTGGCCCAAAACATATCATATCATATGGATTCATATCATATTAATTAATATTATATATTATATGATCATGTGATTAATCATACCCAATCTCATTCTTAATTACTTAGATTATTTAACAAGACAATGATCTATCTATATATGTAGTCTCTCTCTCTCTATATATATGTAGATACACACGTAAGTCTTATATATGTCTATATCCTAGTCAAAAGTGTGAACTCCCTATCTTGCAGCACGGGATCCCCTTCAGCCACCTTGGTCAGCGAGGCAAAAGGTTCGCCATACCTTGATCGAGAGTGCCCTGGTGTGTCTTGGCAGGATGCTGGCATGACCTTCCAAAACATGGTGATGTTTCCATGGGATAACAACAACAAGGGGGTAGAAATTACAAATACAAAAACCAGGGATTGTGGATACATGGGATGTAACAGTACCAGCAATGTGGTGTTGGATTTCCGAACAGTTGAGGATGTAACTTTGCTGATTCAAATTCAAGTTGAGCACTTTTGCTTGATTGATATCCACATTGTTGGAGTTTGCAGCAGCTCCATACTCAACTTGCACACACAGACACAAACACACAAACACACAAACACACAAACACACAAACATACACACATACACACACACACTCACTGGGTCACTGGGTCACCGGGTCACTGTTCATCCGTTTGTAGTAGCTAGATGGAGTTGCTTCTTGCTTTAGCCACGGATGTGGGGACGATTTTTCATGTGACCTACACTCCCCAAATTCTCAGAGCTTTTGGGAAGGGTCCTGGGATTGGATGGTCTTGGGCTTAGTTCCCTCTACCCAATTCGTTCCGCCTACCAGTAGCTCACGCCACCTTCCCAACTCGCTCCACCTATGTCACTCCACCGGGCTTTATGTCTTGTCTGCTTGCTTAGCTTTCGTTCACCAACCCTTAAGACTCAAGTTCTACTGATTTTTCCAGGACCCCAACGATTCAACCCCTATGCAACTAGATTCCCATCAATGGAATATCATGGAATTATGTCAATTGACCAATTACACATATTACACGAAACTCTGGTTTACACATGTTTACAGTAATGTTTACACCAAACAGCACCATCAAACAGGAGGGGCCTCAAATATTTTATCCTCCAACCAGTCAAGGCGGCAGCAGACGCAGCTGTGTAAGCAGATGATCCAGGAGCCCTGCAGAGTGACCCGTGATGACCTAGGGGGGTAAAACAACACGCGAAAACCATTGGTGAAATCGTTGTTTATCATTCTATCATGTTTATGTCATGGTTTATTGATGTTTATACGAAAATATCACATTTTTGTTCCACCTTGAACTAGCGCAACTATAAAACACATGCAACCATGACATGTAGATTGAACTTGAATTCAGAGTCAAGCACAAAAGTGACACCCCATCTGCTGGCCGCCCTGTGAAATTGCCAATTCAGATCTTTTTGGTTATCCCTCCATCAAAATTTATCGAGACCCAGGAAATGGCTGGTCTAATACAAACTACGAGCAATTTAGTGGGTTCAGAGGCACCCCTTTTTTGAGCCATTCCCATGTTCAAATCAAACCTTGAATATGAAACGATAAGATACGATAAGCGTGATTTTGGACGATTTATGGGAGGTTTTTGGTGCTGGGGCATTGTTCCGACAAGTCTGCAGCTGCCCGCAGGAGGTGGAATCCTGCCGACTAGCCCAATCAGCCGCCCGGCAACGGAAAGTGGCTTTTGTTGAGAGAGCCACTGAAAGCCTCTGGAAATCTGGTAACGGAAACTCCACCTTTTAAGCCTTTTAGACAGAACTACATAATAATAATAATGATACATATATATATTTATGTATATTGATATGTTATATATGATATATATATAGTATATATTATTGTTTTCTTTTCCAACTTTCCACTTATCAATTTTTTCCCGACAGGTTCCCCAAGTTTCTGCTCAGGTCAAGCTGTTGAAGTCCAAGGCACTAAGTCATGATGTCGGAGCGGGAAACCATGGGTTTCCTGCATCTATGGTAAACGTTAAAGGTTTAACCCCGGGGTAATGCGATACTAATGGGATATGATTGGGAATATCATGGATGTATAAACATATTGATATTTCTGATGACTTTATCATGAACCTGGGAATGTATCGTGGGATCTGATTGGGAATGTATCGTGGTTTTTTTGTATCATGGGAATTCATGGGATATATCACCAACAGTATGATTGGGACACCATCTATTGGGATAGGATATATATTTTGCTACATAGCTATGGTTTTTCGATGGGGTCGATGGCCCAGTGAGTTCGATGATTTACCTACTAACAATGGTGATTGTCCATAGCTATGTGAAATTACCATAGGGTGTATATATATATATGTATATATATATATGTATATATATATGGGGTGTTTGAAAATGGGGACTAGATACATATATAAACGGATATGAATGATATATCATAAGGTGATGTCTCACCGTTTCAGCATTGATCGTTGGCTCACATTCCAACTGGGATGATGTGTTGATGATCATATGGGATTATTAAATCCATGAGCAGGATTTTCTCCTATGACAATTAGTCATTATATCTTGGAGATTTTGCAATATGTTTTTGACATTGTTCTTTTTTCGCACTTGGTTTGCGTTTCTTGCTGTTGATAGGGATGTTTATGCAATA